CCATAGACACATCCAAACTCCCTGAGGGACTGAATTGCTGTGCGGAGAGCTGTGGGGATCATGGTCTCAGGTTACATCTAGCTCAATTGGCATAATGCAGTTTATAAAGACAATGTTCTATATTCTACCTTGGTGAGTAGCGTCCGGGGTCTTAAAAGCCTGTGAGCAGCCATCTGAGATTCTCCACTCGTCTCACCCCTTTGGGAGCAAGGGAGAATGAAGAGAACAAGAGACAAGGAAAAGATTAGTCCAAAGGACTAATGGACCACAGCTACCACGGCCTCCACCAGACTGAGTCCAGTACAGCTAGATGGTGCCCACCTACCACCACTGACTGCTCTGACTGGGATCACAATAGAGGGTCCTGGACAGAGCTGGAAAATGATGTAGAACAAAATTCTAACTCACAAAAAAAGACCAGATTTACTGGCCTGACAGAGACTGGAGAAACCATGAGAGTATGGCCCCCGGACACCCTTTAAGCTCAGTGGTGAAGTCACTCCCAAAGTTCACCGTTCAGCTGGAGATTGGACAACCTCATAAAACAAAACGGAACTAATGAGGCACAGCAGTCCAGGGACAAGGACTAAAAGGCAGGAGGGGACAGGAAAGCTGGTGATAGGGAACTCAAGTTTGAGAAGGGACAGTGTTGACATGTTGTGGGGTTTTTAACCATTGTCATAGGGCAATATGTGTACTAACTGTTTAATGAGAAGGTATTTGTTCTGCAAACCTTCATCTAAGGTACAAAAAAAAAGAATTATCTATGTGAGATCAAATTGACAACACCAACTTAAAAGGTTTGATGAGAAGCCTAGGGGGCAGTGAGCTGAAGCTAATAGTGATGGAATAGTTTGGAAAAGGATAGTGAGAATAGCAGCACAGCTGGAAGAATGTAATTGATGTCACTGAATCGTACATGTAGAAACTTTTGAAATGGTGTAACTTTGGTTATGTATATTTTCACCAAAAAAAAGTTCCTCCAAGGTCGAGAAGGGAGAGTGTTGACATGTCATGGGGTTGTTAACTGATGTCATAAAACTGTATGTGCACTGACGCTTTAATGAGAAACTATTTGTTCTGTAAACCTTCATCTAAAGTACAATAAAAAAATAAATAAAAGATAACCAAAATATGTTTTTTAACCTGGAAGAAAAAAAAAAAAAAGATTTACAGCCTTGGAAACCCTATGGGGCAGTTTGACTCTATCCTATAGGGTTGCTATGAATCAGAATTGACTTGATGGCAGTGGGTTTAGTTTGGTTTTTGGTTTAGTTATAAGGGAGAGAACCTGGAAGTAATGGGGCTACCCCATCTTGGCGGGAACCCAGAAAGCAACTGACTTGTATATATTGACCTTTCTAAACTTTCTTATTAGTTTCAGGAGATTTTTTTAGATTTGTGTTTGTTTTTGTACTTAGACAATCATGTACCAAAAGACCGAGTCACATATAAGAGAAGAAAATGCAGCTGGCATCAGAATTCTCAATGGCAATATTCAATGTCAGAAAACAATGAGGCAACATCTGTAAGTTTATTCACAGAAAACATACATAACTCTAAGATTTTGTATCCAGTGAGTTGTCCTTCGAGTATCAAGATCAAAGAGATATGAACATGTAAAAACTGAATTAATATAGTACTCACCAGGTTTTTCCTGAGGAATTTACCAGAGGACAAGCTTTAGCCAACCAAGGCATGATTGGGGCAATATCATCGGAAGAACTGATGGTGGGGAGAAGTGAATCTGTGTAACTAGAGAACTAAGGGGTTCTCTGGGTGATGCAGAAGGTTAAGCACTCAAGTACTAACCAAAATGTTGGAGGTTCAAATCAACCCAGAGGCACCTCAGAAGAAAGGCCTGACGATCTGCTTCCAAAAGGTCACAGCCTTGAAAATCCTGTGGAACACAGTGCTACTCTGCACACATGGGATCATCATTAGTCAGAAATGACTCTACAGCAACTCATTTTTGGTTTATAGAACTAAGACTAAAGCTCTGATGGGAAGAAAAGTCACAGAATTTTATATAATTATATACTCTGACAGTGCAGAAATAATTCAACTAACAATAAAATGGAAGGAGACTAAGGAGAGAAAGTTGGAGGTAAATGAGCTCTCAATAATAATGGGGAGTAAAAGGATATCATTTAAATCATTGTTACACAAAAAAAATCAAGGTGCAGTACATTGCACATAACATGATATCTTTAACATAAAAGGGGTGAAAATAAGAAACTGTGTTTGTACTGGAAACCCTAGTGGGATAGTGGTTAAGTGCTATGGCTGCTAACCAAAAGGTCGGCAGTTTGAATCCATCAGGTGCTCCTTAGAAACTATGGGGCAGTTCTACTCTCTCTTATAGGATCGCTGTGAGTCGGAAACAACTCAACAGCAATGGATATTTGTGTTTGACTACATATTTACAAAGGAACACGTGGAAAAGTATAGTGAAAAAATATTCCTCCCACCCTTCTTTCCATTTTTTCCCATACCTACATTTTCTGAAGAATAACGACTAATTGACTTCCAGAGATAAAAGTTAATAAAACATGTAAAAATATTGCATGTTTAAAACTTAAATAAAAAACAAAGTATCTTCACCCTCCACTTCTGGCTTAAAATACTTTTCCTTTTTTCTCTTGTCCAAACTTCTTGTTTCTAAAGAAACTTTAACTCCTAGAATAAATGTGGTACATTTTATTCTTCTCTTAAAAGGGTTCACACACACACATGCGCACACACACACACACACACACACAGCCCTTTACAAACATTGAGGCACAATTTAGTTATGGAACATGTTTATCTACGTTATTATTGCCCAGGTAGATCAAGACTTGAGCTTCTTTTTCTATTTATTATCGTCTTCTATCAACTATGATAACATTCAGTCTCTGCACAAATTAACAAAACAGGATTTTAAACTTATGATTCTGGGTAGTATTTTTGATATACCCTGACGTTAGCTGGCAGCTCATTTACTGAGGTGTTGTGCAACCGATGTGGATATGTGGTGTTCACCATTGCCACCATAGTGAGGCTCAGACATGAGTGTTGTGTCATTACTATAAAGTTACAGGAGTGGATGAGAAAAGATAATCCATAGCAAAAGGAACAAAACCTAGAACTGGGAAGTAGAAAAGAAAGTCTCAATTGATAACACAACTGAGGTCAAAACATACTTTAACATAAGGAAGCATTACTCAGAAATTTGGAGCCCTAGATATGGATTGAAAATTTTATTGTACTTAATGACTCTTGAGAAAGCAAGATACAGCAGGAAGATGTGAGACTGATTTTAGTCCCTAAAATATAATCCTAACCAGAATGTCCTCAGAAAATTAAATCAGTCCTCCAAATACTTTGGGTCAGTCAATTTTAAAGAGACCCTTTACAAATACCCTGAGTTACTCTTGGATGCAAGTCCCCTTACTAACAACAAAGACATGTTCTCTCAAGGAAACTGCTGCACTCTCTAAACTTACAAGGATACTCTGGTTAAGAAACTCATGCGTGTACATTGGAAAAAAAGGCATTTTTTCCTTTTTTTTTTTTTATTATGCTCTAAGTAAAAGTTTACAAATCAAGTTAGTTTCTCATACAAAAATTTATACACACATTGTTATGTGACCCTAGTTTCTCTCCCTATACTGTGACAACACATTCCGCCTTTCCACCCCAGATTTCCCATGTCAATTCAACCAGCTCCTGTCCTTTCTGTCTTCTCATCTCGCCTCTGGACAGGAGCTGCCCATTTAGTCTCATGTATCTACTTGAGCTAAAAAGCACACTCTTCACGAGTATCATTTTATGTCTTATAGTCCAGTTTAATCTTTGTCTGAAGAGTTGCTCTCAGGAATGGTTTTAGTTTTGGGCTAACAGAGAGTCCAGGGGCCATGTCTTCCGGGATCCCTCCAGTCTCAGTCAAACCGTTAAGTCTGGTCTTTTTACTAGAATTTGAGTTCTGCACCCCACTTTTCTCCTGCTCCATCAGGGACCCTCTGTTGTGTTCCCCGTCGGCGCAGTCATTGTTGGTAGCCAGGCACCATCTAGTTCTTCTGGTCTCAGGCTGATGGTGTCTCTGTTTTATGTGGCCCTTTCTATGTCTTGGGATAATATTTTCCTTGTGTCTTTGGTGTTCTTCATTCTCTTTTGCTCCAGTTGGTTTGGGACCAATTGATGCATCTTAGATGGCCGATCACTAGCTTTTAAGACCCCAGACGCCACTCACCAAAATGGGATGTAAAACATTTTCTTAATAAACTTTGTTATGCCAATTGTCTTAGTCATCTAGTGCTGCTATAACAGAAATACCACAAGTGGAAGGCTTTAACAAAGAGAAGTTTATTCTCTCATGGTCCAGTAGGCTACAAGTCCAAATTCATAGCATCAGCTCCAGGGGAACGCTTTCTCTGTCTGTTGGTTCTGGGGAAAGGTCCTTGTCATCAATCTTCCCTTGGTCTGGGAGCTTCTCTGCACAGGAACCTCAGGTCCAAAGGACATGCTCTGCTCCCGGCACTGCTTTCTTGGTAGTATGAGGTTCCCATGTGTCTCTGCTCACTTGTCTCTTTTGTATCTCAAAAGAGATTGGCTTAAGACACTATCCAATCTTGTAGACTTCATCAGTATAACTAATCTATCTTATTACATCATAGTGATAGAGTTTACAACACATAAGGAAATCACATCAGATTACAAAACGGTACACAGTCATACAATAGTGGGAATCATGACCCAGCCAAACTGACACACACATTTTTGGGGGACATAATTCAATCTGTGACACCAATTGACCTAGATGTCCCATGAAATCATGGTCCCCAGACCCCTACCCTGCTACTCTGTCCCTTGAGGTGTTTGGTTGTATTCAAGAAACTTCTTAGCTTTTGGTTTAGTCCAGTTGTGCTGACTTCACCTGTATTGGGTGTTGCCCTTCCCTTCACTTAAGATAATTCTTGTCTACTACCTAGTTAGTAAATACCCCTCTCCCTCCCTGCCCACCCTTGTAACCATCAAAGAATATTTCCTTCTGTGTTTAAACCTTTTCTTGAGTTCTTATAATAGTGGTCTTATACAATATTTGTCCTTTTACTACTGACTAATTTCACTTAGAATAATGCCTTCCAGATTCCTCCATGTTATGAGATGATTCAGATTCATCCCTGTTCTTTACCATTGCGTAGTATTCCATTGTGTGAATATACCATAATTTGTTTATCCATTTGTCCATTGATGCACACCTAGGTTGTTTCCATCTTTTTGCTATTGTGAACAGTGCTGAAATGAACATGGGTGTGCATATATTGATTCGTGTGACGGCTCTTATTTCTCTAGAATATATTCCAAGGAGTCGGATTGCTGGATCATATGGTATTTCTATTTCTAACTTTTTAAGGAAGTGCCAAATCGATTTCCAAAGTGGTTGCATCATTTTACACTCCCACCAGCAGTGTGTAAGTGTTCCAGTCTCTCCACAACCTCTCCAACATGTATTATTTTGTGTTTTTGGATTAATGCTAACCTTGTTGGGGTGAGATGGTATCTCATTGTAGTTTTGATTTGCATTTCTCTAAAGGCTAATGAGCGTGAGCATTTCCTCATGTATCTGTTAGGTGCCTGAATATCTTCTTTGGTGAAGTGCCTGTTCATATCCTTTGCCTATTTTTAAATTGGGTTATTTGTCTTTTTGTTTTTGAGTTTTGCAGTATCTTGTAGATTTTAGAAATTAGACGCTGATCGGATTTGTTGTAGCCAAAAATGTTTTCCCGGTCTGTAGGGTGTCTTTTTACTCTTTTGGTAAAATCTTTTGATGAGCTAAGTGTTTGATTTTTAGGAGCTCCCAGTTAGCTAGTTTCTCTTCTGGTGTTTGTGCATTGTTACTTATGGTTTGTATTTTGTTTATGCCATGTATTAGGGCTCCTAGCGTTGTTCCTATTTTTTCTTCCATGATCTTTATCGTTTTCGATTTTATATTTAGGTCTTTGATACATTTTGAGTTAGTTTTTGTGTATGGTGTGAGGTATGGGTCTTGCTTTATTTTTTGCAGATGGATATCAAGCTATGCCAGCACCATTTGTTAAACAGACTGTCTTTTTCCCATTTAACAGACTTTGGGCCTTTGTCAAATAGCTGCTCATAGGTGGATGAATTTATGTCTGGATTCTCAATTCTGTTCCATTGCTCTATGTATCTGTTGTTGTACCAGTACTAGGCTGTTTTGACTACCGTGGTGGTATAATAGGTTCTAAAATCAGGTAGTGTGAGGCCTCCCACTTTGTTCTTCTTCTTGAGTAATGCTTTACTTATGTGGGGCCTCTTCCCTTTCCAAATAAAGTTGGTGATTTGTTTCTCCATCTCATTAAAAAATGCCGTTGGGATTTGGATTGGGATTGCATTGTATCTGTAAATTGCTTTGGGTAGAATTGGCAAAAAATACATTTTTAAAAAATGTAACCTACTTATTTGAGTTAGTACGAAGCTAGAGTAATCAGTGTAATATTGGTGTAAGGCCAGACAAATTCATTAACGGAAGAAAATGGAGAGTCCAAAAACAGATGCACATATACTGTCAAATGCTTTTAAATAAAGGCACCAATGCAATTCAGTGGGGGAAAGTATAGTCTTTTCAATACATGAAAAGGGGACAATGAGATTAGGGCACAGTGAGCTTCTGTTAAGGTGATGGAAAATTTTGGGAACAAATAATAGTAATGGTTGAACAACATGATGGATATAATTAATGTCACTGAACTGTACACATGAAAATTGTTGAAATGGAAAATGTTTTGTTACATAGATGTTTAACACAATAAAAACAAAGAAACAAACAAAAACATATGTCTACAAAAAGACTTGTACAGAAATGTTTATAGCATCTTTATTCAAAATAGCAGAATGTATGGAATGGATGAACAGGTTGTGGTACATTAATAAAATGGATATTACTCAGAAGTAAAAACAAAGCAACTCCAATACACTAGACAACCTGGATGAATTCCAACAAAAATATGCTTGGCTCAAGAAACTAGACATGAAAGAGTAAATATTACATAAATATATTTTTATGAAGTTCAAAAACAGGCAAAATGAATCTATGTGGCTAAATACTAGAACAGCTATTTTCTCTGGGAGAAGAGAGGACAGATTGGAAAGGGACATGATGGAACTTTTTAACTGATGCAATGCTCTGTGAAGGTCCCTGGGTGGGCAAACGGTTTGTGCTCAACTACTAACCTAAAGGTTGTTCATTAGAACCCATCCAGTGGCACCATGAGAGAAAGATCTGGTGATCTGCTTCCATAAAAATTACAGCCAAGAAAACTCTATGGAGCAGTTCTACTCTGGAACATATGGGGTCGCCATGAGTTGGAATCAGCAACAGGTTTTTGGTTGCAATGCTCTTTGAGTCTTGCTTACTCAGATGTATAGGTTGGTCAAAACTCATCAAAAAGTACATCTAAGATCCATGTATTTTATAGTGTGGGATTATACCTCAATAAAAATTAACAATATATTGAGCAACTGTAATCACATATCAGATTTCCATAAATCAAAAGGTTTCATGGCATATTTGTTGTCAAGGAGACAACAAAGAAAAGAGGAGGTATATTGTTATAATCCAGTGGAGGGCAATTTGACATCTTTTTCATTATGATTTTGGCTGGTATAGAAAAATGAATTTGACTGTTAAATATTGATGCTATATCCAAACAGCTTGCCAAAACTTATTATTATTGCTAAAAATACATCTGTTAATTTGGGGAGGTTTCCTTTATAGGCGGGATGCAAATAATAATGATTTTATTTCCTTTCCTATCCTTATATTTTTAGCTACATTTCCTCATTGGATCAGAACAACCCAAGCACTACTTATTGCAAGGAGCATTCTTAGTTTTACACCACTGTTCCTGATTTTACACAGAGTGATTCTAATGTTTCTACATTTTGTATAATGTTTATTTAATGTTTTGTTGTAGGTATACTTTACAAAGTGTATTTGTTTTCTGTTGCTGTGTACCCAATTACCACAAATTTAGCAACTTAAAACAACACCCATTTAAAAGCTCACAACTCTGTAGGTCAGAAGTGTAGGCATAGTATGGCTGGGTTCTGTGCTTGGGTTCTATGCTCAGGTTCTGAAAGGTTGAAATCAGGGGATTGGCCAGGATGACTTCTCTTCTGGAGAATCTAGGGAAGAATCCATTTACAAGTTCATATAGGTAATTGAGAGAATTCTGTTTTCTGCAGATGTAGGACTGAGGTCTCCATTTTTCTGCTGTCTGTCAAGCTGGAGCTGTTCTCATCTCCTAGAAGCTGTTCACATTACTTGTCACATGACTCCCCTTCACCTCCAAAGCCAGCAATGGACCATCTCTCTTGTGTTAAGTCCCTCTTACGCTTAGAATTTCTCTAACTACTTCTTCTGTGACCTCTAGACCCAGATTTAAAGGGCCGATGTGATTAGATGAAGCCACCTGGATAATTTGAATATTTTCAAGTCAACTGATTTGGGCCCATTATTATATCTGCAAAATCCCTTCAAGCACCACCTAGATTAGGATTTGATCAATGTTATGGATTGAATTATGTCCCCCCAAAATATGTGTTGTAAATCCTAACCTCTATGCCTGTGGTTACAATCTCATTTGGGAATAGGTTGTCTTTGTTATATTAATGAGGCAGGGTTAGTGCATGTTGTATCTTGAGTCAGTGTCTTTTGAGATATAAAAGAGATTAAACAAGCTAGCAGAGGAGAGATGAGGGAAGATAGATGCCAAGACACATGGAGATCTTCAAGGAACCAGGAAGCAGAAGCTGAAGAGACAAGGACCTTCCTCCAGAGGCAACAGAGAGAGAAAGCCTTCCCCTAGAGCTGGTGCTCTGAATTTGGACTTCTAGTCTCCTAATCTGTGAGAAAATTAATTTCTGTTTGTTAAAGCCATCCACTTGTGGTATTTCTGTTATAGCAGCACTAGATAACTAAAACAATTGAATAGCAGGGAGAAGATGTGTGCATACCAGGGGTTAGATATCATGGGGAAACTCTTACAATTCTGCCTACCACAGTCCACCCTCTGGTCCCCAAAGATTCTTGTTCATCCTACATGCAAAATACATTCACCCCACCTCAATGTTGCTGAACGCCTCATTTCATTATAGTACCAGCTGAAGTTCAAAGCATCATCATACTCTCATTAGCTCAAAGCCCAAAATTTCACCATCTAAATCGTCTATATCAGATGCAGCTGAGGCTCCTCCTGAGATCCATCCTAGGGCATAATTTGTCTCCTTCTATGGACCTATGAAACTAAAAAGACAAGTTATATGCCCCAGCACTCCCAACACAATCATGGGAAAGGCATAGGATAACAGCTACAGACATTCCAGTTTAAAAAGGAGGAAATGGAGGAAGAAGGTAGTCATTGATCCTCAAGAGTTTTGAGGTCCAACCAGACAAATGTTGAATTTTTCTTGAGACCTGGGAATAATCCTCTGTGGCTCTTGGCTCTGTCCTCTGGGCAGCTCTTTCCTCTATGCTGTTGGTTCTACCCAAGAGTACACCAGGAACTGACAATCACGGGGGTCATCTTAGAATTCTGCCTACCACACAACCATAGTTAACTAAGAGTTTTTATTGTGAAAAAATGTTAATTTAAAATATATTTTAAATATATTGAGATGGCCAAATAGTTTCTTCTTATTATTAATTTTTGTTGAATGACATTTATATATTTTCCAATATTAAACCTCTCTTTCATTCCTGAAATAAACTGAACTCGGTTTCGTAGTTTGTTTTTTAATGTTTTTATAAGTGTTAGGTTTGTTTTACTATTACTTTATTTAGGATTTTTGAGTCTTTATTCATGATATTATATAGTACTACTAACTTTTCTTCATATGTTTGAAATTATTTTATTTCTGTTCCTGTTGAATTGAATTTTTGTCTATTACTGTTGAAATTAATTTTTTATCATTATACAACACTCTTGAAGAATTATCTGAAGTAGTGAAAACTTTTAAACAAATTAGATGTCTATAAATAAGTGACTAGTTAAATAAATTATAATATATCCCTACCAAATTGTGTGCAGCTCAAAAAAATGCTGAGGAAGCTCTTTATGTATAAATGTAGAATACTCTCTCAGATACACTGTTAAGTGAAAAAAGGCTTTAGTGCTTGGCAATTCAGTTGGCTAGTTTCCTAGACTGGCCTCCCATTGTAAGCATGTTTAGAGACACATATTATGCTCTAACTGTACCCACGAGTTTGACATGTAGAGCCTTTAAGCACTTTAGAATTTCTCTTTTTCTTTTTTTGATGATGAACACATCTTTATTTATTTTTTATTGTGCTTTAGGTAAAACTTTGCAGCTCAAGTTAGTTTTTTATTCAAAAACTCATAACACATATTGTTTTGTGACATTGGTTACAATCCTTACAATGTGGGACAGTTTATTTACTAAAGACCTGCTTGAGTAAGGGATAGGGAGCAACCATGCTAGGTATGACCAATAAGGGGAAGCAAGAGAGCCTATTGCTGTTGACAGGAGCCAGTGATCCTGTACAATTCTGTAGTCAGGTCGTTGTCTGGGGCACTCTAGTCATTCCAGTGGAAGATGAAAGTAACTCCTGAGGTGATTTTTAAAAAATCTGTTTCCTCCTTGACCCAGAGGAGCTAGCTCCAGAAGGTGGGATCAATCCTAAATGTTATGTGTTGCATTTTCTTTTACGAAAAGAAAAAAACATATAAATAAGACAAAACAAAAACCTTTCTGGGGTTTCTAGTGGCAGTTGAAATAATACTACCACCTGTGATCATCAGAAAATAAGTCATTCCTCGTACTCTGTGGGATAGGCTCCTTGACTTCTAAGGGGTAGGAGTTCATCCTGCTGTGTATTTTAGAATCCCTCCGCTGCCTTACTGTTTTGTCGCAGTGAAATTCCTATTGATCATGTCCAAACTTGTCTTTTCACTATGCCTGGTTTCTGAATCATGTTCCAGTTGCTTGGCCCTGCCACTTGGGCCCAGTACACAGTTTGAGCATAACTGTACTAAAACTTTTTTCCAGATCAGTATAATAAAGAAGTGACGTGCAATTAAAAAAAAAAAAAAGACATAAGCTGAGTATTGAAAGCATATTTTTCCCTGAGGACATTTGGTCTCAGGTTTTTTGGTTTCTCAGGTCATGGATAGAACAGTAGTCAAATCCTAGGGCCCTGACAATAGAAGAGTCTTGCAGAATACACTCTCCCAAAGTACAGAGAAACCAGTAACTTACTGGCTCAGTGATGGGTGAAGGACTGCTTTCCAAACCTTGCCAAGGACTGTCAGAAATATTTGCCCTGTGTGAACCTTAGACTTAGCAGAAGGAAGGAAGAAAACAATGTCCCTGGGAGATTTTAACCACCAGTCAACCGTTGCTTTTGTCTTCAGTCTAAACTCACTGTACTTGGGTTATCTAAAAAATATCTTAAAAAATAATTAAAAATGTCTTAAACCAAGACATTTGTTTAAAGCAGAATCACATGTGCATGCCCACACATGCACAAAGACATACATATTCAGGATGGTTTGATCAAAAACTTCATAAACACCATCTAAAAAGCAAAAGGGAAATAAATATACCTGAAAAGCTAACAGAAACACTGTGAGAACACCTAGAGAAGAAGGTCATGACTTGGAGGGGGAAGGGGAAGAAATTCCTATATGGATAGAGGTTGTCATGGTGAACTAACAGCCTAGGAGTGACCTTTTGAGTTTTGCTCATTTTTCTCTTCCACATTGCTCCAAGAAGACCTTGAATTAGTTCTATATAAGTCTCGATTAAAAAATAAAAGTACAAGAGGAATTCTGCTCATTTTTCTTGCAGGGCTGCTGAGGATGTAAATGGTGGTTTTGGTGAGGTGATGTATCTGTACTGTTGATCACTTGGCCGTGGGTGCAAAAGGTGTTCTCACTGGTTGTTGGGATGGGTGTTGTGTGTGTGCTCTGCTGCTTGATGGATGGTATGGGCAAAGGTGCCCGAAAGGGAAAGACAACACACAATACAACTTGACCAAGACAAAGGCATAGAAGTTTCCTAGTCACAACTAAACAATTTGAGGGACTGAGTTGCTGGGGCTGGGGCCGGGGGCCATAGTCTCGGGGACATCTAGGTCAATTGGCATAACACAGTTCATAAAGAAAATGTTCTACATCCTACTTTGGTGAGTAGTGTCTGGGGTCTTAAAAGCTTACAAGTGGACATCTAAGATACATCTATAGGTCCCATCCTGTCCGGAGCAAAGGAGAATGAGGAAAACCAAAGACACAAGGAAAATATTAGCCCAAAGGACTAAAGGACTACATGAACCAGAGCCTCCACTAGTCTGAGCCCAGAAGAACTAGATGGTGCCAGGCTACCACCACCGACCCCTCTGACAGGGATCACAATAGATGGTCTTGGGCAGAGAGGGAGAAAAATGTAGAACAAAATTCAATTTCACAAAAAAAGACCAGACTTAATGGTCTGACAGAGACTGGAGGAACCCCGGAGACTATGGCCCCTAGAACCTGCTAACTCAGAACCAAAATCACTCCCAAAGTCCACTTTTCAGACAAAGATTAGACAGGCCCTGGTGGCACAGTGGTTAAGAGCTATGGTAATTCACGGCTACTAACCAAAAAGATCGGCAGTTCGAATCCACCCGTTACTTCCTGGAAACCCTATGAGGCAGTTCTACTCTGCCTTATAGGGTCGCTGTCAGTTGGAATCGACTTGATGGCACCTAACAACAATAACAACAATAATACAAACAGTAACACATGTGAGTATCGTGCTTCTTAGTTCTATAAAATATATGAGACCAAATGGGCAACTCCTGCCCAAAAGCAAGACAAGAAGGCAGGAAGGGACAGGAAAACTGGACAAATGGACATGGGGAATCCAGGGTGGAAAGGGGGAGAGCTGCCACATTGTGGGAGATTGCAACCAATGTAACAAAAAGAAAAAAGTATATAAATTTTTGAATGAGAAACTCACTTGAGCTGTAAACTTTCACCTAAAGCACAATAAGAAATAAAAAAAGAAGTGTTCTTTATCCAAAAAAAAAAAAAAAAAGAAAAAAAAGAGGAATTCTAAAGTGCTTGGGGACTGAATAGCAGTAAAGCACTACATGTCAAACTCGTAAGTACAGTTAGAGCATAATGTATGTCTCCAAACACACTTATCAGAAAAGAAAAGAGAACTCAAAAACTTGGAAAATGAGCAAAGGGAGAAACCCAAAGAACAAAAAAGGGGAGAAATGCTAAGCAGAAAAACAGAAATCAATGCTATATAGAAAAAATGTATATGTATGAAAGCATACAAATATATATACATATATACATACACATACATATGTATATGTGTAAATTTGAAACCACAAATAAATGCAAAATTTTAAAATATCAAAATAATTATATATCAAAACTGATAGAAAAAGAGATATAAAATTGAATATATGACTAACCTTTATATAGATTCAAAAAGTAAACAGTCCATTGCCTGACACCCCTCTTCTGCTGGGATTCTGTCCCCCATGACGTGTACACAACTATGAACCAATAGTAGTAATTTCTTATTGTCCTTCCCCTATCCTGCTTAAGAGAAACAGTTTCTCTACAAAAATTTTCAGCGAACATCTAACTGTTGACATTCTTGTCCAATGATGCAGGAACGCAAGAATATTTATCCTAACTCATTTCCATATACTAATCTGTCTTCTGCTTGAGATGGAAACAAAATAGCCCACCTCCTTTTGATATTCTCCACAAAATGATAAACAGACAATTGTGTAAGAATGGAATAACTTAAAATAAATTATGAGCAACCAAGGTACATGGATACTTTTTATTTAGGGATGCTATGATGGAAAACCATAGCAAGACTGGGTTATTCATTTATTTACTTTTCTTACCTCCTTTCCTGAACAAACCCTTGATATGTTTTCATGGGTAATCCTCTCACATGAACTCTATGAAGTCATATTTAAGAAGGAGCCTTAAATAAAGCCTGTGTGATGGGATAGAGAGAATAAGTGCTACCTTTCCTGGGAAGGAGGTGGTTATCCATTTGCATACAGGGCTGCAGTTGCTTCTTTTCTTGCTGAAAGGTTGAGTCTCTATCCACTAAGACTGCAAAATACATTGATGTCAGCATAATATAGGAAACGAACTGACTGGACACCACCCAGTACTCCTCTCTGATTTAAAACATGCATCAGAGGAAAACTTGCTTCATCATATAAGTGTCAATCAACCTTATCATGTGCATCCTTTGATATTTCACTCTTATTATTTTTTGATTGATTAAAAATATACAGAAAACAAACAACCAGACAAAAAACCCTGCCAACCTAGAATTCTATATTCAGTGAAAATATCCCTCAAAAGTGAAAAAGAGATAACGACTTTATCAAACAAACAAAAACTGAGAGAATTCGTTGCCAGTGGACCTGCCCTTGAAGGAATGCTAAAAGAAGTTCTTCAGGCAACTGGAAAGTTCGATAGGTCAAAAACCTGGCTGTACAAGAAGAAAGGAAGAACATTGGAAAAGGAATAAATAAAGGTAAAATAAATTATTTTTCCCGGCCATTGTTTTATTCTCATACACACCCCATATATACCACACACCACTCATTCACATATACACATATGCCCACCACACACATACAGGTAGTCCCTGACTTATGATGGGGTCCTCCTCCAACTACTGTCATGAGTCAGTTCTGACATAATATGAATAGCTCTCTCTTTTTTTCAGTTTACATAGTCTGCTATACGGCAGTGTTTTGAACAGTAAAGCATAACATTGAACATCTGCGAGTGAACATCTGAGAATGATAACATCAACAAATTACATGCTGCGACATTGTATGTAGTACATACTACTAATGATAAGCTGTACAAAAAAAGAAAAAAGATGGTGGTAAGTGCGGTTCATCATAACTCAAATATGGCATAAGTCAGGAACTAACTGTACACCACACACCACACTTCACAGACACACATACACATACCCTACACACACTCCACATATGCACCATACCACACACACAACAGTACACATATCACAGACACACTTAAATATACACTCCACCACATACACCACAGATACAACACAACATTCACAGATACACAAGCACCACACACCACACATGCGTAGATACACACACACACACACACATGCACACACTTTCTCTTTTCTTGGATATCCACACAACTCTGCATCACACCAGTCTATTGGAACTTGTTCTTTCTCTTCTCTCTTACGAAAAGCCTCTGAAAGTAGGTATGTATTTTGTTTTTCAAAAACGTCTGCAAATTGCTAAATACTTTTGATAAAATCTCTGTCACAGAAATCCCCCTTATTCTCCTCTGGGAAATTAACTAATTATTAATTTCACTTAATAAACAGTAAGACTAAGTTGATTCAGGATAGAAAAGAGATTCCTCCTTCCTCTGTGAAGATTTTTCTCTCAACTACAAAGTATGGATCTTCTGTATTTACTAGTTTAGCCCTTTAAATCCTTCACAAAATCCTTTAACCTCACTATGTCAAAGTTAAAAGCTTAATTTTTAACTTCACTTTCACCTTTGTCTCGAAGAATGTAAGTCTAAAAATCATGAGACAGACTAGAAACCTTCTGGGGATATGCCAGTAATTTCATGGCCACGTTAGACTGAGACCTACAGTCTCTCTCCCTGTCTGCTCCATAAGTGTTCCCAGAGTTTACTGTTGAGGATGGCTCTAGGTATATAATGCTATTCTGACAGAAAATGCTATGAATTTCTAAATGACCTATTAGCTTTTTTCCCCCTTTTGTTCCTCTTCTCTTTTCGTCCCTCCCTCTTTCCCCCCACTCT